AAATTTTCTATTGAATCTAAAGTAAAAAATGCATAATTGGACTTAATTCCTCATTTCTGAGATTTGAGATATAATAGACTGAATTATTTTAAAGTAGCATACTATTATGACTTGGATTAGTAGTGTTGAACTTGGAAATCTAGAAAATAGATATGTTTTAGGGTGTGAGGAAAATGGATGATGATACTTTACTATCCTTAAACAACCTTTTGAATATTTACTTCAAATCAGCAAGGGTCTTGAAAAGTTGAGAAACTTGCTAATATTTATTTCTTTAGAGTACAAGGTGAAGCAAAAGTAGATTTACAGTTGTGAGTACACAAAACACAGACTTATCCTTGTATTATTTATTATTGTATTATTTTCCATACAAACAACTGTAAACCTATGTCTGCCTCACCCTGTATTTCAGATACGAATAACTTATCATCCATATCAGTGGTCCTCAACGATGTCTAAATCAGCCCTACAGATTTGAAGACATGCTTGAATTTTCAAAAAGTCTAGAGTTCAAAAGTTGTAAACCAGTTGGAAAGTGAAGGAATTGAGCCAGTGAAAGGAAACATAAAAGCAAGCAAACTAACTTTTAGAATCAGTATTAATATTTCGTTCAAAGCTCATAACCATAGTTTTTGATATGTAAATCAATATTATGTAAATTTTACACTTGGGAAAATCTAGACATGGAATTTTACAAGATTGGTATATTAAGGTTATATTTCCATTTAGGCAATGAGCAGAATTCAAACCAAAAATCTTTCTGTGCCTTGTTTGGTTCTTTTTCTAGGATAATTAATTCAGAGAGCCCATCTGTAGTAGGTTCAATAGTGTCCCCACAAAGTCCATGTCTTCTCTGGACATCTGACTGTGACCTTATGGGGAAACGGCAGGTTTCATTAGTTAAGGATTGCAATACAATCATACAGGATGAGCATGGGTTCTAAATCCAATGAGATGTCCTTAGAAGAGGAGAAAAAGATGCACAGAAGCCCAGGGAAGAAGACACTGTGAAGAAGGAGGCAGAGACCGGAGAGGTGTGTCCAAGAAAGACCAAGGCTTTGCTGCAACCACCAGAAGCAGGGACAGAAGCGTGGGACAGTTTCTCGCTCACAGCACGCAGAAGACACTAACCCTTGCCAGCACCTGGGGTTCGCACTCGTGGCCTCCGGAACTGTGAAGGAAGACACTTCTGTTGCTTCCAGTCAGTCAGCTGGTGGTATTTTGGTTCAGCAGCCCTAGGAAGCTAGTGCACCATCACTTACAGAGAATAATTTTTATTTACTAATAAAAATCATTTTCTTCATGAAGCCAAGTGACCCTTGACTCCAGTGTCTCTTGAAATATGAAATGTAGATTTTGCTATGGTAAATCTGGAAGCTGTGAGCAATGAGAATCTTTTATAGCATTTAGATTAAATCATCACCACTTCCATTTGCAGTTATAATGAAGCAGCTAATGTTATAGTTGCATTTATTTGAGGTATAGAGGTTCCTTCTAAATTTACTTCCAGACATCAATTTATTTTCTTATATTTTCATTCAAATGTTCTTCCTTTTTCAAAAGAATTGAATTACGAACTCACAGAGGGTGAAAATCATCTTTGCGTGCATGTAGTTGATTACCTGTAGGACTGAAAAACTGAAATACCATTCACTGCCTTTCTACCAAACCCCAGAAGTGATTTATATTATTCCACTTATCTAACTTTCTGAATCTTCAATATAACAAAATCAGCAGCAGAAACGTATCTGGGGCTAAGAAAGAAAAAACAATACCTTCTTTGAGGTTTTTAAATTCTGTCAATGCAGTACAACTTGCTAGCAGACTACAGTACCCATGTCTTAAATGCGTTCTTTCAGAATGAGCTCGTCCTTTACATGTCAATCAGTTATCATACTACACAGGAGGGAGTGTATTCCTGGCGAACTTCACATCTCTTTACGTCGTCTCCCCAAGCTCACTTATCCTATACTTTTTACGTAAAATCACATCAAGAGTACTTTTTCCTGAAACTCATTTTTAACAAAAATCAAGGCCTTAGCTCTCCAGAGAAATAGTAAATAGGACTGGATTACAACCCCAGCTTTAATGTTTAGAACCAGCTCATTTGTAAAGTGCTTAAACGCAATACTGTTCCTTTCCTGGCCCCTTCATTGGGGGTGAGAGATGAGCACACACACGGCCAGAACACAAGGGAAAACAGCACGGACCCCCAATCTGCAGCAACTACAACCTGCAGGAAGCCCGCCTGCAAAACCTGTGCCACACGGCAGTCTAGGAGGCCAGACGTCACCTCCTTCAGCCACTGTCCCAAGATGGCCAGGACTTGATCTGACAGTTTCCCTGATTTTTGTCATCATTTCTGAATTAGCACCCACAGAAGAAAGCCTTAGCGGGTGCAGTAGGAGGCCGCACCCTCACCAGGGCCGTGGGCGGCCCCACCAGCACTCAGCCCGGGCACAGCCCCCGTGACAACAGCCTGGAGTCGGGGCGCACGGGAAGCCTTCCCCTTTCCCACTCTGAAGCTTCCCTTCTCCCCTCCTGCCTTTCAGTCCCTGCCGAATGAACGCAAAGGACGGTGGCTGACCCCCACACGGTGAGCTCTGCATCAACAGCCTGCGCGTGCTCTCTCCTGGGTGCTCTGCCCTGGTTGCCACAGGCTGAGAAGCAATGTCTTCTGCCTGGTTGGCACTGAAAAGCAGGTGTCATTGCTACTGTCTCATAAGCAGAAACACAGACTCTGCTCCTGCTGTTTTCAATGGCTGATTCTTCTCTGTAACTTGGGCCTTCACAATAATTTGTCCTGTTTTTATGTTCTCTGCACTCATAATCCAACTTTATCACTATCTGTACAGGGGCAACTTGATTCCTCTGATGTGTAACTTAATACATGGGGTTCATTTTATTAGGTCCTCTCTCTTCATACCTGCTTGTATTTTTATTTCTCCCTTTTCCATGGGGATTCCCACTAACCATCAAGGCCAACGGGCTCTGCATCAAATGTAATCACGTAAGAACCGACTGCTTATTTTCAGTTTGTGCCATGTTCCCATGGAAAACTCAGGAATTACTTCCCAGTGATCCTCTGTTGTCTTTGCCCAGATGGCTTACAATACTCAAATGGAGGCTTAAAAATTAAAAAAAAAAAAAAAATTAGGTGCAACTGTTTGACGGGGCGGTGCAATCCCAAGGAAAAGAGTGAGGACAGAGGCGAGAGGCAGGACACGCGCATCCCTCGGGGGCAGCGGCTCCCAAAGGAGAAGGCTGGTCCCCGCCACACAGGACCTCTCTGCACCGCCTGCGCAGCGACTGCCGCCCTCAGACCAGGGCACATCCGAGGACAGAGAGGGAGCGATGTGCCCCCAGCTCCCTCTCCCCTCCTGTCTCTCATTGGCCCAGTTCGCCGCCCCGCCCCCCGCCGCCCCACAGTGCACTCCTCATGTCCCGCTGTGTCGCCGGGGCTTTTCAGACGTCCACCGGTGACGCCATGGGGCGCATGCTGTGCCGGGCACGCCACTCCTGCCCACGAGCGCCCCGGGCCTATCAGCTCAGGGCTGCGCCCTGGAGTCCCTGTCTCCCATCCCGGGGCAACCAGCGGCCCCTCCAGATGCCAGCACCCACCCTGGGGGAGGACGGCAGAGCCTTCGCTGCTCTGAGATCACGTGGCCGTGGCCACGTTGTGCAGGTGGCAGCAAAAGCTGGGACTCTTTCCAGGTAGAAGTAGCCAAAAGCCTAAAACACACCAAGGCCAAGAGAAACTTGACCCAGACAAATGTCACATGGGAAGATCTGACAAATGAGGTGTCAACACAATAAACCTTCCAGAGAAAAATAAATACATTCTGCCAAAACTGGAAATAGAAGGCTGTAGTAAGTTATTGGGATATATAGCCACCTGTCTTCCCAACCGAGCGAGTGGAGTAAAATGATAATATGTAATAATGGTGGCCCCACGCCATTTGTCTCCTGCTGTGTGAGCACAGAGAAGCACAGAAGCAACAGTGAAAATCAAATCAATCTGCCCCCTGTGATTAAGGATTTTAGTTCGGCTGACCAGGACTAAGACACAACATAAAGAGGACACGGACATTTTTATGCCTAGAAGTAGTTATTTTGAGGGGACAGATCAATATTGCCTGTGAGGCATAAACATATTCCTACCCACACGATGGGGAAAGAGCATTCACTGAAGGAAACGCCATGCTAGACAGAGAAGCCACGGTGCTTCAACTGTTTAATTGCAAGAAAATACCCTCATATTTAATCAGTATGAATTAAAGTATCATTTCAAAAATGATTACAAAAACATGTCTGTGTGTCTGTCTGCGTTTTGAATGAGTCAGGTCCTGGGCACGTGGGCTCTTGTAAGACTGTCCTCATCAAAAGTGTCCCTGAAGCATGTTGGTCTGAGGACATGAAATCTAACACACGTGGGACACGGAAATACTTGGGTGTTAGATGACTGTTCCCTCTGTATTTCTGTAATCCCTATGGCACACAGCACCGTGACAAGTTCCCGCTTGTGTTCAACAGTGTGGGCGAGAGAGGGCACCGCCGCGACCTCTGACCCCCCGCCCTCCCCCCGCCCCCAGCGCCCACTGCCCGGCCGGGCCCTTCGCCCTCCCCTTCACAGCTGCCTCCTGCCAACGACGGCACTTCTTTAATAGTAAAACGTTCCCACACCGAGGCCCCTGTGCCTCTGTGAAACCCCCACGCTGCAGGCCTGTGCTGCCTGGCGCAGGACCGGCCGGGAGGATCAGCCGCGGGAAGTAACGGAAATCGCAGCGGACTTGGCGTTAGAAGGCAGAACACATCTCGGCCTGGAAGGCGAAGTACGAGACTTTCCGCCCTGCGGTGCTGGGAAAGCCACTTACCTCCCTGAGCACTGGTTTCCTCACTCAGCCAAGGGAATGCCATTACCGGATTAGACTACAGAGGAGTGTAACAAAAACTCCAAACAGGAGTAGTTGAAAGGAGGTAGAAGGTGACTTCCCCTCTGCCTAATGGCAGGAGCAGAAGGATCGGCGCCTGAAGCGGTCGCCCCACTGCGCCAGGAACTCGGGCTCCTCCTTTCTGGTCGCTCTCCCACCCCCGGCGCTGCCGTTGCCTCCGCAGGTGAAAGGTGGCCCATAATCAAGGCCGCAGGGCTCACCCTCCGGCTGCCAGGAGGACACGTGGGGCGAGGAACGTGCACCTCGCTCCCTTTGAAGGGCACGAGAGCAGGGTCGTGGGGAGGTGGCCAGGGCCTGCCCGTGAGAGCCCGTTAACTTCTCAGGAATTATGTGAGCCGGTTGTTAAACACCACCTTTAGTGAGCAACTAAACTACAGAAACTCACAATTAAGCAAATTAAATTAAAAACAAGGGCAGCAGCTCCTCAAAACTCAACCCTCCTTAATTATATTATTATAATTTGCTGTGATCTGCGCTCTGGTGGTTATTGCCTCCTACTGCTACCGCGGAAACGCGGCACCGTGCTCTGCCACTGCATGTCTTTTCCTGAGGGCGAAGACGCCTCAGGGTGGTGGCCTCAAATCAATCATGACCTAGTTACGCTGCAGAGATTGACAAACACTGCAATCCAGGCCTTCATTTATTTTGTTTAATAGATGGTTTACACTGGGACCTGGCAAACCAGCCCACAACTTATTTTGATTCAGTCCTTAAACTAAGATGATGAGGGGTTTTTTTGTTTGTTTGTTTTTTGTTTTATTTACATTTTATATATAGAAGTAAGGAATGGAGTGGGAGGGAGGGAGAAAATATGTGACAGAGAGAGACTGTAGGGAGCTGCAAAGCCTGAAACATTTACTGGAGACCTTTACAATAAATGTCTCATACTTCAGGTGCAGAAATAAAACCATAACCAAAACAAGCTGTATTTTCCTCAACATCTGCAAAACACTTGGAACCCACAGGCACATAGATGGCATGTAAAGATGACCTTGCAGCCACCATTTCAAGTGTCCAGGGTGTCACCTCAAGCCTATTTAACAAGGGTAATGCCCCAGCCTTTGTTCAGAACAAGACGACAGGCCCACGTGGGGCCGGTGCTAAGCCCACGGCCCCAAACCAAGGCTCAACAGAATCACACTTTCAGCTCTCCCGGAAATGAGACCTTGAACCGGTCAACCAGGAATGACCTGAGCCACACTGGTGTGGCCACCCGCCTAGGGACCACCGCCGCCCCCTGGGAGGGGAACTTTGCAGCAACCGGCTGGCTCTCCGCCGAGTGAGCCGTCCCTGTTCCCGCGTCCTTCTGCCCATGGAAGTCTGTCATTTTGAACAGCTCCGCGGAGCGCCTTTCTATCTGCAATATGGAATGCTGCCCCATTATAATCGATTTTTGCTCAGATAAACTCAAAATGTTTAATATGCCCCAGTTTATCTTTTGACAATTCTGGCCCCAGAAGAGGGAACCAAAGGAGACCCCCCACGGCCCCCAGGAGCCACAAGCAGCTGGGAGGAGGTACCTGCTGAGCCCCTTGAGCACGCTGCTCTCTCTGCCCCGGAGGCTCTGGGCACGGCCCTCTGCAGCTTTGGGTCAGGAGCTTTCAGATTGTGTGGGCGCTTTGCCTGGACTGCGACTGGGAACCTGCAGGGGTTGAACTGGATCTTAAACATCAGTGGCGTTCAGGGCCGAACTGGGCCTGACTAAAGCAGGAGTGGAGCCCGTGTGAGGCCTCAAGTGGGTACAATTTTGTTCCACGACTAAATAAGCAGGTTTAACTTATCAAATCTAATCAAATTAGAGTGGCCACAGTAGAGAATTTTTAAACTAGATAAGCATGTCCATACACGAAATCCCCAGAGAAAAAAAGGATCTCAGCCTGGCACTCAAAATGGCAAAGGGAAAAATTATTATTCCTCCTCTACCGTTTCAGGTGACCTGTTCACCACCCCTCTCCCCCTAGAACCTGCAGAAGGGACCCAAGGGAAACTGGCAGAAGCTGGCCAAAGAGGAGAATTCCTACTAACGTCAGCGCTCCCAGTTCTCTATCTGTGGTGCCTGGTCAAGAAAGAAAAGTAAAATGCCATGCTCTCCTTTGTAAATTCAGGCTCTTGTGAATGTGATTTTGGGGTGCCATTGTTTGTTGAAACTTTCTCTCCCAGGGCAGCTCTTGCCTTCTTTTATATATGTTTATGTTTAAAGAGTAAGGCTTGTATATACCACTAGAGGATGTATGTGCCTGCGTTTACTGGTGTATGTGTATATTGTAGGCATATACAGAATGCACACGTATTTCCTCTGTTAGCTCCACCAAGTTTATCTTCTCACCAATCTAAATACTGTAGCAACATTAGTTTTATTTTCTCAACAGAATAAATGTCCCAATAATTGCTCTGCAAGAATTAAATGCTAAATCAGCAAACTTCTACAATATTCAGTCAACCTGCTATTATGTAAGATTATGCTATTTCTGTGGGTTCCCAGAGGCTTATAAAACAGGTCAGCTTTGTCCTAAATGTGGGTTAATTTCCTTTTTATGATTTTATTTACATATATTGTGAAATGATTACCACAGTAGGTTCAGCTAACATCCATCTTCTCATACAGACACATTAAAAAGAAAAAAGGGAAATTTCTTTTTGTGATAAGACTTCTAAGGCTTTACTCTCTCCCCTTCCCTACATGTCACATAGCAGCGTTAGTCAGAGTCTCCATGCCGTACGTTACATCCCTAGGGTTTATAACTGGACGCTCATGTCTTTTGATTACCCTCTTTCAGTTCTTCCTGCCCTCACCCCCTGCCTCTGGTAACCGAAAGTCTGACCTCTTTTTCTATGAGGTTTTTTGGGGGTATTTTGGTGGTTTTGTTTTTTAGATCCCACATAGAAGTGAAACCATACAATATTTGTTGGTCTTATTTTAGTTAGCATAGTGCCTTCAAGGTTCATTTACATTGTCCCCAAAATGGTAGGGTTTCTCGTCGATATTTTTCTTTATGGCTGAATTAAATTTCATTGTAGTTGTGAGATATATATGTATATATAAAATCACATATATACCATATATATATTTTTATCTATAGATCACAACTTCTTTGTCCATTCAACCATTGATAAACACAACGGTTGTTTCCATGCCCTGGCTATTGTAAATAATGCTACTATGAGCATGGGGGTGAAGATATCTTTCACGTCGATGTTTTCTTTTCCTCTGGATGTATTCCCAGAAGTGGGACTACATGGTAGTCTGTACTTTTTGGAGGAGCCTCCACACTGTTTTCCATAGGCCTGTACCAACTTACAGTCCCACCAACAGTCACAAGGGCACCTTCTCTCCACATCCCTGCCAGCATTTGTTATCTCTTGTATTTTTGACGATGGCCATCCTAACAAGCAAGAGGTGAGATGTCATTGTTTCTAATTTGCATTCCCCTAATAACTAGTGATATGGAGCATTTTTCATGCACCTTCTGGCCTTTGGTATAGGTTTCTAGAAATGCCTATTTGGGTTCTTGGTCCATTTTTAAACTGGGCTCCTTGCTCTTGTTGGCAAAACTGGCTGTTCAGGAATCCGAGACGCAGGGGTGGAGACCGGGTGGACTTGACACCCACTTAATCACTGAGCCTCTGCGAGAGGCTGCCCCGGGCCTGGGGGGCGGGGTCCGGCGGAGGCCCCACCCCGAGGGCCTGGAGCCCCGCCCCTCTCCGCTAGCCCCAGGGACTCCGAGAGCCCAAACTCAGCCGAGCGGGTGGAGGACAGTTTCAAATCATTGTCTTTATTTCTTGGCGGGCCTTGAAATGGGGTGGGGACGCGGTGGGTCCTACTGGCCTAGCGGGGCGTCAGGGCCAGCTCCATCGGGGGCTCCAGGTCCATCCTTCTCCTGGCGGGCGGGCGCAGAGAGTCAGGCGGCCGGGCGTGGCTGCCTTTGCCCTGCCACCGTCACCACCGGAGAGGCCCTGCTCCGAGGGACTCTGGGGACGTCCCCGTCCCCTCCGTCTCCCTCTCTGCCCTCTTAGCCTCCGTTCCTGGCTCCCAACCTCTCCTTTGTCGGCCCCGTCCTCCGAGGTCCTCTGAGTCTGGGTGGGAACTTGCCCCCCGAATTTCTCCAGCTCCACCTTCGGCCTGCGGAGAAGGGGCAGAGGAAAGGAGGAGAAAGAAGAGAACAAGAGTGGAGGGAGTCAGGGAGGAAGCCACTGAGACACCGTGACCCCGCACCCTGAGGCCCCGCCGACCAGCCCCAGAGCCTGTGCTCCTGGGGCTGCCGGGAGGGGTGGTGTTGCGGGGAGCATGGGACTTTCCCCCCTCCTCCATGCCCCTTCCGCCTCGCCATGCCCCTTCCCCCTCTGTTCCCTTCTCACCCTTCGTTCACCGCCCGGGCGCCCTCGGCCACAGGCAGCGAGCGCAGCCTCTGTTCCACCAGCTCCAGCTTGGCTCGAGTGGCGTTCTCTGCGGGGGTGGGGGAGTCACGGGCGGGGCCTGGAGCTCCCCAGAGCGACCCCGTCCCCTCACCCCCCACCCTCCGCTGGAGTCCCACCTTCAGCGAGCAGCTGCTCCTTGCTGCTCTGCAGGGCCCGGATCTCCCAGGCCAGTCTCTGCTCCAGCATCTGCGAGGAAAGCGAAGAGGCCGGAACGTCCGTCTGTTCCGTACTCCCGGCCCCCTCCTCCTTCACGCCTCTCAGAAAGTCCTTACTTGAATTAAGTCATTCATTCATCCCACTATATTAACTCAATGTGCAATTTCAGCTGTGACTGAGAGCCGGTGGGGACACATTTCCCCGCAATCGCTCCCCATGACCTTGTGTACTCCTCCAATCTCCTGTCTTGCTTCTCTCCACATCCTCCCCGCCCACCCTCCTGTTTGCTCTTCCTCAAAACTCCACTGCACTGTTCAGCCTCAGGGCCTTCGCATTGGCCTTCCCTTCTGCCAGGAATATTTGCACCCAAATACATGCATGGCTCCCTCACTTCCTTCAGGTCTGCATTCAGATGTTACTTGCTGAGGCCTCCCCCAAAGGATATTACATGATCCATCTTACGTATTTTCTTACTTAGAGTCTGGGTGTGCCTCCCCCCCCCCCCCCCCCCGCGCCCAACCATCCTGGGACAGGCAAACACTTGGTCTCTAGGGCTCTCCGCTGTGTCCTTCTGCCTGGAATGCTGCCAAATGCATCCAGACCCAGGAGTTGAGTGAAAGAATAACCCAACCACAGTTTTTTCAGGGTTCCCATTTGCCACTGCAAGGTGAGCACGCTCTAGGTGAGCAGGAGGAAAGAAGGATCAGCAATGGTTACTGCACCAGTCTGGACACCCGTGTGACAGTGGGGGATGGTGAGAGGTGGCCAGATTTAAGGTAAGAGCTGAAGGATTGAGTGGACGGGCAAAAAGAACGATGGAGTCAAGGGCTCTTCCACGAAGCTGGGCCTGAGCAGGCGTGCGCCTGCGCAGCCAGCGGAGACGCGGAAACCAGGTGAGGAGGGGCTTTGGTTGGAGGCCGTGACGATGGCTCACCTGGAATTCCCAGAGGTCCTTGTGCTGGCCCATCAAATCCTCCAGCTGTTCTTGCACGTGCAGCCTAGGGGCCAAAACCAAGGAATGAGAGAACACCTGCTCGGACCAACAAATAGCCTGGTCCAGCCTGGGGGTTCCTCATGCACAGACATTTGGACTTTTGCCTAGTGCTCCCTCTGACAGATACACAAATGAATCAATGGCGGAAGAGCTGGATAACCAGTATGGGAAGACTCAGAACAACACCAGTAGGTGAAATTTATAAAGAAACCAGCAAGGAATGATTCAAGGAGTGAGGTTATCTTAAACACTATCAAATATCAGAAATGAGCATAGAAGTCTTTTGCCTAGCTAATCTGTCTTATTAAAAGGGGAAATGAGAAGAGTGTGTCCAAGCTTTATTTTCCCTAGCTCTTGCTTGCCCCTCCTGCAAGCTGGGGACTAAAGCTGGGAAGCTGGGCAGGACCGCTTACCTGTGGGCCTCACTTGCCCTCGTTTGGCCGTGCAGCTGGAGGATCCTCAGTGCTTCTGTGGAGAGAGGAACCAATAGGGCCATGTGAGAGCTCTTGGGGAGTCAGACTTGGGTGGAGGTGACAGGCACTAAAGGGTACTAAGGGGACTTTATTGTTTCCTTCAAGTCAGGTGGCAGCCAAGGAAAAGATTGGAGCAGAGAGGGAAGTACCCTGACTCTGATTTCAGTGGGATCCTTCTGGCTGTTCTAGGGATTGTGGGCTTTTGTGGGGTGATAGGGTGTAACAATGAAGGTAGAGCAGCTGGTAAATACCTTGCTTTTTTCTTAAGACCTCCTCTAGGTGCACCTTCTCTCCATTCACTGGAAACACAGGGACACTTTGAGCCTCCAAGGAAGGGGCTATGTCCTGTGCCCCTACTGCAACTTTATGCAAAGGGCATGACCAGGGTCACACAGAGGGTCTGGGACAGCCCCAGGAAGGGGGGTTATGTTCTTGCCACCCCGCACCCATCTCCCACTGGGGACCACCTGATCCGGCTCCTCCCCCTCGGTGCCTACATTCCCTGTAAATGCCAAAGGAGTAGAGACTCTGCAGACTGCACAAGATCTATACCGAGGACAGAGATGACTAGAAATAAATAGATGCACCGAGTTAGGTAGAAATAAAGGCTATGAAGAAACAAGTCAAGCAGGAGAGAGAGTGACAGAGAGGTGATGTTCCATTTTCCTACGGGGCCGCCACGGTAGACCTGTTGGATAAAGTTTGAGCGAAGAGCTGAAAGACGACTTGAGATAGCAAGAAGCAATCTGGACTGCAGAGAGGAAGAGCACGGCGGGGAGAGGGGGAGCCCATGCAAAGACCCTGTGCGGCGCACAGGGGCACCAGCCGTGGCCATGGCATCCCTGCCTCCCTCTTCTGCTCTCACTTACAAGAGTCCAATTCCCTGTGCAAGGCCTCCCAGAGAGCCCGGGCTTCTCCCAGTTCCTCACTGGATTTCTTCTTTGCTGGGCCAAAAAGTGAAAGACGACACTGTGAATGCAGCCTCTAGCCACGCTATTCTCTCTCAGACTGTGACACTGCACATTCATCTTCAAACAACCTGGGTGCAGGCGCCTGGATTTTATAGCAGAGGCATTCAAAGTCCAGGGCCTTCCTGGCCAGCTGGCCAGCCCAGGTCCCAGGTTACCTTGCTGAAGCTCATTAATCCGATTAATCAGGTCTTCTATCTGTGGCTCCAGGCTTCCCTCTGCAGAAGGAAAGATTGAACCAGAGAAGATAGATGCCTGACCGTCCAATGCCGATGGAGAGAGGCTGGGTGTTGGGGCTGTGCCTGTGCTGCTATCGACCAACACAGTTAGTGAAGTCTGCTGTCTGCTGGCGGTAAGAGGCCCTTGCGAGGTTTGAATTCTGGGTGGCAGAGATGGGCATTGCGCAAAGATACGATACCAATGCAGGTGGCAGTGCCTGCTGTGGAGAGATTGAAGAGTGAAAGGGTAGAAGGTGCTTCTTAAGATATAGAAAGGCCCCAAATGAAGAGAAGGGAGCCTGCGGTTCTGTGGGGGTGGGGAGTATAGAGGGAGGCACGTGTGCAAAGTAGTGGCTAAGGGGCTGGCGTGGCAGGTGCGAGTCTAGTAAGCAAGGGCAGGGGGAGTGGCAAAAGGCAAGCTGGGGGAAGTGGGGGTGCACACACTCAGGGCCTCCTGGGACATGGTGGAGGCTTCCAGGTGTAATTCTGAGTGTGGCGGGAGCCAACGAAGACCACCTGCCTGTCCCACCCTGTTAAAAGCCTGGCAGGGCAGTTGTTACTTCTGTCCATCTGGACTCTGGTATTGGTCTCACTGGAGAAATGGAGAAAATGAGGTTTTGGTTTTGTGGGTGGCAGCTTTCAAGTTCTCCAGTGCAGGGAGGTCACTGTCTCTTTAGCGGACTTGTCTACTTTCTCACAGCTCCAATATCAGCACTTTGTATGGAGAACCCTTTTTCCTCTTCCCTCTTGGCGTCAAGATCTGCAGCACAGAATTGGGGCTAAAAGCTTCCCAACCTTTGCTGGGTCTCACTACCAACCCCAACATTTTGGATTTAATTAGTTCAAGCCCTAGGTTTTCCAAGGCCCCCAACTCCAGCTCCTGTGACTTCTAGGACAGTCGGTGCTTCTAAGTTGCTGATTATGATGGACAAATCTCCAGGGGTCCTTGCTTTACTGGTGGTGGTTCTGCAGTTTCTCTAATTTTAGCCCCAGCGCACTTCTGCAGGCAACCATGGAAGCAGGGCAGGGGGGTCCTTTTCATTAGGACCAGACCAATGGCCTGTAGAATTTAACCTGAGGATGGGCGGGGGAGGGGACCAGCCTCAAACCCAGCCAGCACTCTGCCCAGCCCTGAGGTAGGCTGGCTCCCAGGCTCCTCTCAGCAAGCAAAGCAAGGGGCAAAGCAATGTATCTGTACTACCATTTGTATACTAAAGGGGCGGACAAAGAATACCCACTCATGAACGTATTTTTTTAAATCTCTGGAAAAAATACCCTAGAGTTTAAAAGTAATTGTTGCTGGTCTGTGGGTCAGGGAAATGGATGGGTGTGTGTGTGTGTGTGTGTGTGTGTGTGTGTGTGTGTGTGTGTAAGATCCTAGAATTTTCCATCTTCTTAATCTTCTTGAATTTTGAGCCTGTGTTTTTGGTTCAAAGACTACATTGGATTAGAGGGAGAAAGTGCCATGGGATAATTTCCCAAGGTTGCAAGTTGAGGGACCTGCTTGATTCAAAACCCGGGGGAAGCCTCAGATACAAGGAGACACGTGACCTTTCTGCAGCTTTTTCACCATTGCCAGCAAGTCTTCAGTCTTCAAAGACTTGGTCTGCCCTGTAGAGATGAAAATCAGAATTATAGGACCCAGTGAGAGAGGGGGCTCTGAGGGAAGGTCCAGGCTTATCTGGGAAGGAAGGAGGCCAGTCCCATGGGTTCTGCAGACACCCCTGGGCTGGAACCAAAAATGGGCTAAGGGCTAGGCCTCCACTAGAGCAGTGCCCCTGCAGGACCCTGTCCCTTGTCCCTGAGGTTTGTAGTGTTTGCTGGATGAATCAGGGCCCCTAATGAAGGTCAAGGATGAGAGAAGGGGAAGCACTTTTGTTGCTACTATTCAAAATCAGTGTGACGTTCTCACCAAGGCAATAGAGCAGAAATATTTCATATGAATTTTTTACAAATCATTGTAGGTCACAATTTGCAAATTCTTAAAGAATATTTGAGTCTAGAAAACAGTTATTAATGACCCCTAACAATGAAAAAAGACAACCGGGTAATATGAGCTTCTTGAAGGAAGAACATAACATCACCTAGGAAGGATTCTTGCCAACAGGAAGGAAGGAAGGAAGGAAAGAAGGAAGGAAGGAAGGAAGGGGGGGAGAGAGAGAGAGAGAGAGAAAGAAAGAAAAGAAAGAAAGAAAGAAAGAAAGAAAGAAAGAAAGAAAGAAAGAAAGAAAGAAAGAAAGGTTTCCATATTTAAATACCGATTCAAAGAAAATACAAAAAGCAGAGAAACATGCTACATGATATCATGGGGATATGATCAGCATTACAAGACTCTGGCAAACTCTACAAGACAATCTTGTTTCTTCAAAAAATAAATTGCAAAGAAGAAAAAGGAAGAGGGAAAATTATGATTAAAAGAGACTTGGGACATAAATCAATCAATTGTAATGAACAGACCTGATTTGCATTTTGTTTCAGACACACTTTTCATAATATATACATCTATATATTTTTAACATGAGCCTGTGTTACTTTTAGAATTATAATAACAAAAAAAATCAGAAAAAAATATTGACATCTTAAACTCTTGCAATCAATGACAAAAGGTCAAATCCAAGTGACCTACCCCTCTCCAAGGAAAACTGGGCAGAGAATGTGAAAGTCAGCTCACAAATCACACGATAGCCAAAAAGCAGTATACAGTGAAAGGTCCCTTCCCCTCTGACCTCAAGTTCCTCAATTCCCCTCCTCTAAAGTCAGTAAAGTTACAAGCTGTTTGTGTGTACTTGGAGATAATTCAATTCATATACAAGCATATTTCCACTTTCTATGTAAGTGGTGTCATATCATAAATGATGTTCCACAGCTTGTATTTTTCATTTGACACTGTATACTGGTGATCTTTTTAGTCTCTTCAGTGGCTGCATACTGGTCCACTGAGTGAATATACCATGATTTCAGAGCAATCCTCTACTAGTGAATATTTAGGTTGCTTCTCTTCTTTTGCTGTTACAACACTGCCACAGTGACCATCTTTATTAGTTTTCTTGGGCTGCCAAAACAAAGTACCTCAAACTGAGCCTTTCTTTTGTGCCTGTTTGTGTTTTCGCCTTTCATTCTCTCTCTGTCCAAATTTCCCTCTTCCTGTAAGGATGCCAGTCATTGGACCAGGCCCACCCTCATCCAGCATAACCTCATCTTCACTAGTTATATCTGCAAAGACCCTCTTTCTAAATAAGGTCACATTTTGAGGATCTGGTGTTCATGAAATGTTGGTGGGGACACAATTCAACCTAGTATACTTATCCTTGTCCATTCTCCTCTGTGCCCACATGGAAATATATTACTGGATAAATTCCTAGAAGGCTACCCATTGGATCCAAGGGCATGCCTATTTTTAAATTAGACTGGTATTATGGAATTGCCCTATACTTGTTTTTGGCAGGCTCCCCAAAAAACCTCCTTCCCCGTACTCTTACCAGCCAAGTATGCGTTCGCCTATTTCATTTTTGCCAATCTGATAACAGAAACAGTAGTACATTTCAGACTTCCTGATAGTAAATATCCAAAACTTACTCAACTCCTATGGATCAGAAATTCTACTTCTGAGAATCTATCTTAAGGAAATAATTAAGGGTGATGGGCAAGATGTTCATTGTTTGTAATCTTAAAAAACAGAAGCAATCTAAAGATGTCTTAGTTGATTATAGCACATTTATAGGATGAAATTCTTTGCATCCATTAAAAATAATGTTGTAAACCAGGGGTTCTTAACCTGAGCTTATTAAATTTCATTGAACTATCTAGTGGTATGTTCATTTTCTTTACATATTTTCTGTCTTACTTGAAATCTTTTAGAAATAAGTGTGCATTAATTTAATTTGCATTTAAATTTTAAATTATTAAACAATTGTAGAAGAACTTAAGATAAAAAGTAAAAGTCTCTCCTCACGAAAAGCTCTTTCCCCAGATCACTCCCCTTTCCAGAAGTAACCATGCTGATAGTTTGGTGAAGACACTCAGGTCTTTAGTAAAATTAATTTCATGAATTGCTTTAATTTTTATTTTCTTATCCAAGTAACATTCTAGAAACATTCAAATACTACACAAACATGTGAAGTTAAAAAAACCTCCCCTTCTCTTCTTGGCCCCAAATCTCAGTGCTTTTCTCTGATATTAATAGACTGGTATGTATCCTCTGGAGACTTTAAACGTTTTTAAATACTTTAAATATTTGGAAATTAAACAAAAAATAAAACTACTTTAATAACAAGGATAGATATTTGTTATTGCTTTCTTGTTAAATATTTCACTATAAAAACTTCCAAATGTACATGAAGTAGGGAGAATACCATGATGAACTGATTTATTCATTGCCAAGATCAGAAAGTCATTAATATTTGTATTTGCTTCAGCTGTGTTTTTCCTGTGAAGTTTTTTTTTAAATTTATTGCTTTTAGAGAGGCAGAGGAATGGGGAGAGGAGAGAAGTATTTTCAAGAGAGAGAGAAAAACATGAAACCAGGCTTCCATTTTATCCCCAGATACTTAAGTCTCTCATTACTTGAAGACATTTTCTTAGATGACTCCAATCCTATAATCACACCAATATTAACAATCATCAGTAATCATTATTACTGCCATCCACTACCCAGAACCTAGATTTCTCCCATTGTTCCCCTGTCTTTTATAGGTGGCTTTTACCATCATTTCTGTGGAAGCTCCATCTACGTTTTTCCTTTCCTCTGCATTTCTGGCCCTAGTCATGGGGCAAGATCATGGCTGATGAGTAAATCTTTTAAATGATCCAACTAACATCTTGATAATTTTTTTTTAAAAATCCATGTTAAAAAAAAAACCTATAGCACATGAGCTTCTTTTAAACATTTTATTTTGAAATAATTTCAGAAGTACATAAAAGTTGTAGAAATAGACCACAGTTCTCCTACTTGCCCTTGTATCAGGTCTCCCATTTGTGACCATTTTTGTACCGTTAATTGCAGGGATCTTGGCCCTTTATTCCTTAATGTTCCAGTGGGCATTTCCTCTCTACAAGGGAAATCTACCAGGTAACCACAGTATAACCACCCAAACCAAGATGTTAATATCAACATCAATCAATATTAATATATGGCCCTCAGCTACCATTCAATTTTTTTCTCATATTTTAAAATTATATAGTATTACATTTTCCTAAAAGAATAAAACAAAAAAAAGAAATCACAAAAATGGCTTTACTTTTGCACAGCCCCCAAGATCAGAGTTCCTTGTGAAGAATCATCAGTTGGGCCTTCCACCTCCAGATGTTTCTCTGTCCAGCCCCCACATGGGTATAATTGACATTGCCCCTGCTTTGTTTTTTAAAATCCAAACTTGCTTCCCTCCCCCCGCCCCACCCCGCTCCTAAAAATCTCTTCTTGGAGTTCATTCGGTGTCAATAAATACTAATATTGTCTTTTAAAATTAATTATTTTAAATTAAGTTGTCATTTTTTCCTGCTACCTAAAAAAGTAAAAAGTCCACCACACAAGTATTCCACAATATGCATGAAAATACCTAAACTTAGCCATTACCATGATTGTTCTTTGTTTAGCTTCCATCAACAACACTCTAATGACTCTCCCTGGTCCACACATCTATGCATTCTCCTCATTACTACGAATGGTGACTGAAGATATGGAATAGCATTTTAGTTACTGAAAATGTTCTGCCAAACTGCCACCAGCAAAGCCTTCGCTGGTCAGCTCTCCCAGTGAGACGAGATGGCCTTTTCCCCCAGAGTAATCAACACTATTATCCCTCTTTAGAAAGCCAACTTTAATGGCCAGAAATGGGAACTTGACATGCTTTTAAATTTTCTCCCTTGCTGATGAAATTAGTAACTTCAATTTTGACAAATTTGAAAAAGTGATACTGGAAGTTTTCTAGTACAGTGGCAGCTATAGTAAGTGCTTAATAAATGAGATCCATTTGTACCTCTCAAGTTCTGTCCTTTGTTGAAAGCAGGCATTGAGTGTGTGGCCCAAACCAAAGAGAACTCTCCATGTTATTTCATTATTCATACAACAAAGAAAATTATTGGGCACTTATTATATGCCAAGCAGCCATTGTTTGGGTGCTGGGGAAAGAGCAATAAATGGTTTTCACTCTATGACAATAAACAATAATCACCGTTATTGTTGATGTCTGCATAGGTAGGCCTGAAAAAAGGCAATCCAGTATGTTTATTAACATAGTGGTTTAAGGGCTGTGCAGGAAAGGGTGTTATAGATGATAGGTTAAAAGGTTGAGTTGTTGAAACAGTGATGGATATGTGGGCATTTATCAGGCTATTCTCTGTATTTTGGTACATTTAAAAAATTCCTATAATTAGAATAATGCTAGTGGCATAGTAGCCGATCACTGTCCTGTGAGGTTTTCTTTTGTCTAAACTGCAATTCCCACTTGTCTGTAAGCAATTTTTGCCCCTCCTCACTAGGATGAAGGTATCATTACAAAATGCCCTGGAGAAAAGCTGTCTGTGGGAGCGGCCATTCTCAATTAAGATTTGAGTCCACACACAGTGTGATATGTGCTGGGGGTCAACTGATACTGGGGAATTACCGTTAATTTTCCTAGGTGTGGCAGCAGCAATGATTTTTGTGAGAACGTCCACCTCCATTTGTTGCTTGGAGATGCATACTGAAGTATTATTTAAAGTACAAAGTAGTATGTCCAATAAAGCTGATAGGAGTTAATCCTGATGAAATTATGCATGTTATGTCTGTATTATTGAACCCTATTTTATAAAAGGCTTAACATTTTTTTTTCTTTTAGAGCTGCTATCAATATTTCATTATTGGAACGGGACAGCTGCTTCTCCCTTCTACCCGGGCTAAGAGGGGCCGGCTTATTCTCATTACCTTCACCCTCCTCCACCTCCTCCAAGACCTCCAGCCGCTTCACCTCCAAAGGCTCCAACTTCCCCGCCATTTTCCAACGCAGGAATTTGGCGCATGCGTCTCGGACAATTGGGTTAAAAAAAAAACCAACTAAAAAACACGCCGCGGCAGATAGGCTCTATGGCGCGCATGCGTGCAGTGCGCATCGGCTCGTCAGTTGACCGGGTTGAGAGCAACGGGGTTTCAGCGAGCCTCGGGCCCAGTCAGCAGCATGCGCCTTTAACTCCAGTTTAGAGGAAACAAGGGCAGAACTAGGGTCTTCATGGGCTGGGGAGTGAGTGTTGTGAGCACACACACAAACTCAAGGGGGTCTTTCCCTCTTCAGGTTGAAAGGAAGTCCGGGAGAAATGTGCATGTGTTATGCAGTGGTACAGAGTTCAAGTCCTTTTTCATTGAACACAAATCCTCAGGTAACAGCCTGTGAGAGGTTAGTTATCTCCATTTCATGGAGGGGCAGAACGAGCCTCAGCAGCTATGTGCACCACCTACGTAAAAATTCTGGATCTCCTCTACCCTGTGAGGTCGTGGCTTTGTCCCCGGTTACAGACAGGTAGACTGTGGAGGCCACTTTTCTCTTTGACATTAGCAGTGGCCAACATTGATGGGGGTCATTTTTGACGTTAAGGATGAATAAAGCATATGAAGGGCAAAGGAATGTCCTTGTGGGGAGTGGTTTAGGCCTTTTTCTTTAAAGTGTCCTCAGGCCAGTTCCAGGCACAGGCTGGCCCTGCCTCTGCAATCTCAGAATCCCCGTGTGCTACCCAAAAAGACCTTGGCCAGCCCTAGACACTCAGGGCTAAGAGCCCATTGACAAAGTTGACTCCAGATGCATGACAGAGGCTGGAATATCATCCAAGTGGAGGAAGTGAGACAGAGGGAAGGGAAGAGGCCTAAGGATTTCCCCATAGGTGGAGTTACATGGGGGGACGGGGGAAGCAGTCTGTCACCTGTGTGCAGCCAGCTGCCACCCATCTCTCATTCGTGGGTAGGCCCCCAGCTCTTGTCCCATTGTCCAGGGAGAGACCAGCCACAGATACCACCACGAACCACTCCATCCCTCTCATGTGGCCCATTTCCAGGGTAGAGACAGAAGGTAAAAGCCGAAGGTCGTCATTCCCAGCACTGCCCAGTCTGGGAGTTCTGCCTCTCAAGATCCGCTGAACAAGCCATTATGGGAAGCGTGGTCTGTAGAGGCAGATGAGGCTGCGGGGGGTGTGGAGTACTTGGGGGGGTAACGAATGAAGAGCCGATCTTCCTCCTTCTTCACCCAGCGCAGGAGTTTGGTTACTGCCAAGATGGCACCTGCCTTAGTCACCAGGGGGCTGAGGCAGGTATAGAGCTCAAATTTGGAGGTCACCTGTGGATTTGAGAGGAGACAGTCAGTTGGCTTGAGCTGCCCATGCCCAATCCTGTCCATCTGGCTCTAGACACATGTGTGTCTCCTGTTTAGAAGATGCACCTAGCAGCAGCTCCCCCCGGTGATGCCTGGTCACTGGGATTATTATGTCATGGGTAGGCCTGGAGTTCTCAGTTTAGATCTAGTGTCTTCAATTGGATGATTCTGGCTGTACGTGTGAACCTCAGTTTGCTCATCTGTAGAATGGGTATAACAGCAATTGTTGTACACAAGGTCTTGTTCTAAGCTCCACACACCTGTGTCTTCATCATCTGTACTCTGAGTGTAACCAGAGGGTTAATTCAATTGATCCTCACACCAGCCTGAGAGCCTTGATGTGACCAGATCACCATTCATTTTCCACACCACCTCTCACTACTCCCCCCTCACTCCCTCTGTTCCAGCCACCCCAGCCTCTCCTTGCTATTCCTCAAACATAAAGCAGGCTCAGTCACACCTCACAGCACTTGTACAGTCCTTTCCCTCTGCCAGCTGTACTCATCCTTCAGAAACCCACATGGCCCGCTGCCTCCCCGCCCACCTCAGATGCCGCCTCCTTGGTGAGGCATCCCCAGACCACCTGATTTAAAATTCCCAGCGTACCGTAGCTTGATTTTGAAATACCATTCTTTGCTAAAGGGTAAAAGGGCTACTTGGACAAATGGACTGACAGAGAAAGTACAAGCTGAGCTTGGAACATCTTGTGCCACAAAGAACGAAGCGCTTCGGCAGTGATGGGGACATATCAAAATGACGCACGGGTCAGCCCGCCCAAATCAAAACTCCCATTGGCTAAATCAGAGACAGTTTGAGCAACAAAATAAATGACAGAACAGGCTCTTAGCCCACTGAATTAAAGAAAAATCCACAAGACCATAGTGATACATGTGTAAAATTAAAATTTCAACAAATATAGGAAAAGTTCCCTGAAACAACAGAATCTCAAATAGTAACTGTAGAAGGAAAGGTAGGGCTAGAAAAATCACCACCTAGTAAACACCAGAATATTAACTGTTGCTGGCAAGAATCATTAATGGGGATTAAAATTATTGGATGAAAGTATAGTGAAAAACAGAATACTGACATAATCGCCTCATGCTATGTAATAATTATTGTACAAAGGGTAAAAACACTAACTTCGTAAGTGGATAAATCTGGCAAACCCACCTTACCTAAGCAATCAAAGTTAACATCATCAGCCGTGGGACAGACCGACATTGTGGGCCTCCTGACACGATGCAGAGAAGGGCACAGCACCGCTTCTGTGAGATTCCTTCCCAAAATGCATGACCTCAGTTCAGTCATGGTAACATGGCGGAACAACACAAGTTGAGGACATTCTAAAAACTAACTGGCTGGTAAGGTCATGAAAGACAAAAAGGACTGAGAAACTTCCAGAATAAATGAGACTAGGAGGACACAATAAAGCAGTCCAACGTGTGACTCTAGACTGGATTCCGGACAAGTAAAGAAACATTAGTGGGACAACCAGTGAAATCTGAATGAAGTCTGTGGATTAGGTGTCATTATAAGGATGTCAATTCCCTGATTTTGATAAGTTACTATGGTTATGTTAACACCTGGAGAAACTAGACGATGGAATTATTTATAGTAATTCTTTGTACTATTTTGTGACTCCTTTGTAAGTCTAAAATTGATTGAAAATTAAAGTTTAGAAAAATTAAAAGTAAAATAAAGTTCTTGGCCTAGAGCAATGCCTGATACACAATAAGAATCAAATAAATTATTTAATAAATGTGCACTAAATGGCAAAGCTGGGGGAAGGTGCCATTTCCAGTGGGGTCACCCTGACCAAATTCGCAGAATATCTGACTTTTAATAGACCCACAGGAAGTGAGGACAGGAGCCCAGAAAAGACCCCAGGGAACGATATCCCAGGTAGAAGGCACAGCATGCGAGTGTGGTGTTCAAGGAATGCTGAGGGGGGACTCATGGAGTCAAAACTGGACTGGTGCCTGAAGACACAAGGGCCGGCTTAATGGGGAAACAGGGAATCACCAGGCACAGGGATGGTTGTTAATGGGGCCTCTTGAAAGCTGAAGACACTGTACTGATTCCTAATGGGGGAGCAGCACACAGAATGATGGGGCTAATGAGGTCTGTAGACGTTCTGACTGACCCTAATGCATTTCAAGGACAGGTGTGTGATGGCAGGGACAGTGTTAAAGGCAAAAGTATACCTAGCCCAAGCAAAGGCACAGTGTGCTAGATGGACAGAGTTTGCTATGCCGGGGGGAATACCATGGAGGGAAGAAAGTATTGCAGCAGAGAACGAACCCCTTCAGAGCCCTAACCAACTCACCCAGGCCAGCAGCGTCTCCTTCTCAGCCACGTGGTAAATGAGGCGCAGGGGTCGGGAGGTACTGTGGAGGCGTGCATGCAGGCGGTGGTACAGGTCCGACAGGCGCTGCCGTTCCTCCTCTCTGCTGTAGGGGGCCTCTAGCTCGGGGCTGCAGTGGTGGACGGAGGCAGGGGACAAAGTCAGTCTAGGGCTTTTTTGGCTGGCGCATCTTCCTCTAGTCAAGGGAGTTCAGTTAAGTTAGGGAGCTAAGCCTTCCCCATTAGGCTTGAGGAACTCCGTGGCTGGAGGCCAAGCTTTCCCATCAAACTATGGGACTCCTTGAACCCTGTTCTCCATTAGAACAAGGGATTCCTTGAGATTGGTGGTTGAGCCTCCCTCATCAGAGACCCATGCTATTCCTCCTTCCTAGCACGTGGCTGGCTCTTATGGAGTCACGACTGTGAGATGCTGAACCTTCCAGTTAGATAAGCCTTTCCACCCTGCCAATTGCCCACAGGGTCAGGACCCACCTGGTAAACTGGGGCAGCTGGCGGTGATGGTCAGGGATGTCCAGTGGCTTATAGAGGAAGTGCCAGAGGCCAGGTGCCCCCACAGCCTGCACACTGTAGGAAGGGGCATTGGCTGACAGAGCATTAGAGAAGCTGGCAGCCTCCCCAAGCGTACGCATGGCACCAAGGTTGTGCATGCCATCTTCTACCAGGCGCCGGCAGGTGGCCATGTCATGGAAGGCCTCAGGGTCAGTGCCAAGCAGCAGTAGGCAGACAGGCATGGCGTCCAGGCGGGCCACATAGGCATAGAAGAAGCCATCAGGGTTGAAGCGGGGCAGGCACACAGGTGCCCATGCCTCCCCCGCTGCAAAGGCCGGGGCGCTGACCCAGTTGAGCAGCAACTGCAGGTCGGCTGGGTCCAACCGGCACTCAGCCAGCACACTCCGCTCCTGGGCTGCTGTCACCAGCTGACCACCGACGGCCAGCACAGACAGCGCCAGGCCGGGTGCTGTGCAACGTCGGAGCAGTGCACCCAGTGCTTCCCGCAGTGGACGAGCAAGGGGCACACAGCGCACGGCACCCAGGAGCAGGGCACCTGGGTCTCGCTCCACACTGTCCAGAAGCCGGTCTAGTGTGCTCTCCGAGCCAGCCAGCAGGCGGCGGAGGTCGTAGTTCTGCTTACGGGCGAAGATGCGGGCCACACTCGCACGTGTCAATGTGCTCACGATCTGTGCGTGCACAGCCAGCAGCTCCCTCCGAAGCTGGGCTGCTGACTGAGGAGTCCTTGACACAGCCACCAGCAGCAGAGGGCCCTGCTGTAGGAACACCAGCTTGTGGTCCTCTAGGGGAGGAAACAGATGGGCAGAGTGTAGAGATGAGTCAGTAGTGACTAAAGGGGGTCCGCTGAGGTTCTTCCGCCCTTTCCCTGAACACACACACTTCACTCTGGTCAGAACTTGTGTGGTCACCGTGGACACTTGGACTAGGGTAAGGACAAGCTGGGGGAGTATGAACATTTCAGAGACAAGATAGGGTGGTCAAAGACTCAGGTTAGACATACAGCATGGAGTGGGAGAAGATGATGCAAGGACTGACAAAGCCAGAAACACACACATCTCATCCACAAGCCCACAAAGTCATGCTGTTAGATAAACAAGGAAGTATCCAGCCAGTTGCTTACATCCCAGTGAGTCAGTAACTCAGAACCCAGCAGGCCAATCTGACAGAGGGACACAACCCTCACCACGCCGGACAGCCATCCACATACACTGACTCACACGTGGCTGGCTGGAGTGTGCTCCAGGCAGTCAGCCCTAAAGCTAGCCGGCTGGCCGTACCCGTATTCTCAGTCACTGCCCCCTGTCCTGCCTCCTGCCCCTTTGCTCACCAGCATAGATGGCGCGGATGGCATCTCCTGCACTCTGCACGAAGGACACGAGGGCTGTCATCACACCCATGGTAGCCGACAGTGCCTCCACACTGCCGTACCTCGAGTAGATGGGCTTGCCTGCCTCGCTCAGCACAAACACGTGCTTCCGCTTGCTGCGCCAGTCCTCATCACTGGGGTCTCCGCCCTGGCCCCCAGAGCCACTCTCAGGGTCACCCGTGGGACTATTCTCAGAGGCTGAAGGATCCCAGAGCCCATAATTACATGAAGGGGACTCTGACTGGGGCAGTGGTGACAGCAGGCTCGGTGACTTGTCCTTGGTCTCGGATCCTGAAAGAGAGCCCCTGGTGGGTCATCTGCCTACGGACTCCCAGTAAACCCAAGTGCCCAAGCACCCACCAAGTCAAATCCCTACCAGTCCGCCAAGGACCCCTGATGCTGACACGAGACCTCCAGCTATCTCCTCTGTTCTTAATATTACATCCACATGATCCTCTTAAATCCCTGATAATCCGATCTCTTCACTGTGGTAACTGAACCCTCTATGCCCCTAGAGACCAATTATTCCCCTTTCAATGACTACCATTCTCACATCTTCAAAGCACCTCATTGCCTCTGAATAACCTTCATCTTCAATGATCCTCCATTAAAAACCTCTGACCCCTCATTATTCCCCTGATATCTACTCACCCCTCAATAGATGTAATGGCCATGTTTATATCTATTAATGTTTGGGTCTTTGTTCCTTACCCTAATTACCCTAACTCCTTAATCTCATTGATGTCCATTGATCCAGGATCCCATTGACTCTCTTGAGCACCATTTATATTACTAATGAGGACCACTAATTCCCACAATGACTGCCATGAATATCTGCTAACATCCAGATCTTTAGGACTCCCTTAACACGCTTCCCCCCACCCCATTTACCCCCACTGCTGTTCACCAACATTCTAATGATCCCACATTAACATTACTTATACCCAGGTCTTCAATGACCTTCAATGACTACCTTGACCCATAATCTATTCTACTCCGTGTCCATTCCATCCCCACTAGGAACACTATTAACCTCCCCTAACATCCAAGACTTCCACAACCTCTGCTGACTCCCCTGACCCTCTTATCCCTTTCTCCCTTCTCCCCAGGGATCACTATTAATCTCCACTAACACCTAGGACTTTAGTGACCTCCACTGGCTCTCCTGGCCCCCTTTAGGCTGAGTAGTATCCACTCCCCTCCCTACAATAACCACCATAATATACACTAACACATAGAGCTTTAATAATGACCTTCACTGCCTTTCCCCATGATCATCATTACCAATCACCAATGAAGCCCACGATTTCAATGCCCCCTACTGACTCCCCTGACACCCCTTCCATCCATTCTAGTCAGTGTCCATTGATCTCCCAAAGACAATCATTATTATCCATTGGCAACTAAATCTCAACAATTTTCCCATAAAATTCCAATGACCTCACATTCCCTCATTTTCTAATCCCATATGCCCCCAATTACCAACTACCTCCTCCCAATATCTGCCATTACTTGCCAGTAATTCCCAAGTTCTCAAAGATCCCCCCGCCATTTAGCCTCAGAGATGTCCACTAATCCTTCTCAGTGAGCCCATTAACATACACTAATTCCAAAGTGGTCAGTGAGCAATGCCCCCCGTGACTCCCATTAATTCTCCACGGAATACCTTTACACATCTACTTGGGGCTTTAAAGATCTTCCTACTGGTCCTCTAATGCTCCAAATAACCTCACTGATGTCCATTGCCTCCCTACCAATGATCACTATTAACGCCCACTAACATTTGCATTTGATTCCTTAAAAGACTCCCTCCAACAACTCACCATTGTCTCCTCAATGATATAAATACTCTGAGTGCCCATTGGCTCCAACTGATCCTCTTCCCCATCTCAGTGACTTAAATAACACCTTACACCCCAAGAAACCGATTTCTGAATAGCCCACATTTGACCCTATTAACTTTCTTTTGGTCATGACCTATACAGCCTAAATCCCCAATGCTCTTCTTTGACCCCCAAAACCTAAAGTCACTCCAAGACCCCCATGAACATTCACCGATGCCCACTGATTTCCTTTTTATTCCTTGATGATTTAAACTACAATGTGAGTCAACAATGACCTCCTACTGCCCACATGCAACCCTGTTAGACCCAGAAGACTCTTCAATGGTCCCTCATTGACCTCTTCCAACAATGACAGCCCCTATAAATTCTTCCCAAGACCCTAGTGAGGAAGAGGCATACCTGTTTCCTCCAGGCTCCCATCTCCGAGATCTGCTGGGTCCCCGTGAACCCCTCCACCGTCTCCAGCCTCCTCACTGGGAAACCGCGTGTCCTCCAAGTCCTCTGCGTCCCCGGGGGCTGGGGCAGCAGTGTCTTCTCCGGCCTCCATCTGCACATCCCTGTGCGGGAGGGGAATTGGGGGTGGCGGGCAGCAAAAGAAACTTCTTAAAAGCTTTAACTGAGCTTAGCCTTCTGGTACACACTCCTAGTGCTGGTTTCCCCTCGGTTTTCAATAGGATGAGACATTAAAAATATGACGAAATATTTGCATCCTCCAACACTTGCTGAAAAGGAAGGCTCTACCGAGCCCCAGGAAATAAAGATTCATAAACACCTGTTTTAACCCGGTGTTTCAATTGGCCGGGTACCATCACTTCCCGTAGCCGCGTTATTATTACACTTCCGGGTGCGACTGCTGTCTCGCCACACTTCCGGGTGCGACGACGCTCTGAAGGAGCTTCCCGGTACGGAGCTTGATTCGCTCCCCGCGGGACCCGACCCCTCTCTCCCACCGCCCCCTGGCCTTGGCTCACCGTTGAGATGGAGCGCACCACTCCCGGATCTACGTCGGATCTGGCTGGGAACCAAGCGAGGCCCCTCTGCACCTCTTCCCACCTCAGAGTCTCGCCCGGCTACGCTAGGCAAGCCGGGCCCACTTCTGTTACAGAAGGCTGTCGGCGTGAGGGGGCGCGGCTCACGTTCAGCCAATCCGGAGAATGAGGGCGGCACTGCCTCTCGCCTGGCCCAATCAAGAGAGGCCGGCTTCACATCTTCTCTCTACCAATACTGGTTGTTGAATTGTGCTTACACCCGCCCATTCCTTGACTGATATTTTTCCGGACCCAATTGAAGGTTCGAGCCAATTCCCCACTTCACTCGAGGAAGTTCACAGCCTAAGTGAAAATTGACACCGGTGCTCCACCAATAGTCGTGCTTCCTCAGAAGTGAGGGACTTCACCCTCCCTTATCCATCAGGAAAGGCGAGGGGATGAGGGTGGAGTAGAGTCTTGGCCGAAACGGAATTCTTGACGGACAGTCGCCGCTTCCAATTGGAATGCCATGCGCAACCTGGCTAGCCTATAGAACTCAGCTGCTAACGCGGAAGGCGGACCTCAGAAGTAGGAAATCTCTATCCTCGTGTCTCTCGGCATTTGGCCAGGCAAAGGGCTCCCAGCTTTTCGGGAGAAGGCGCGAGCCTTGCACAGCCGCACGGCGCGGGGGAGTGAGAGCAGGCTGATCAGGGTTTGCCCAGACGACCTCACTTTCGAAACCACGAATTTGTGGTAGGAGCGATAGAAATTAGAAGTTCAAATTTAACAGGGTTGTGGGTGGGCGTGGCCTTGGCCGCCTAGGAGTCACTATGTGGAGGAACACCGTCGGTTGCTGCGCGCCAGTACTGGCTGGGCGCTGGCATTGGAGAAACGCAAATTAAAACCGCGAGAGATATCACTGCACACCTATTAGAATGCCTACAATTAAATAGTAATGATATTTTAAAAATTTCAATAGTGTATATACAGCAGCATCAAAAACACGAAACAGTAGGAATGTTAGCAACATATGTACAAGACCTATATCCAGGGTACTATAAAATTTTGCTGAAAGAAACCAAGGAGATCTAAATAAATCAGGATTATACTATAACCATTAATTGGAAAACTAAAAAAAAAAAATCTATGTTTTAGTATAATTGTAATGAATACCTTACCGTGAATTTTTGAGGAAACGTTCTCTTAATATTTACATGAAAATGCAAATGCTTTATAGCTAAAACCATTTTGAAAATAATAGAACACCTACACTAGCAGTTTTGATCACATAATCAGGTTACTGTAAAGAAGGTCATGTGGTATTGAGAAAGTGTACACAGACCTATCAATGGGACAGATTAGAGAGCTCATTCTCACGCCTACCTGTGTGGTAGGTACCGTAGGACAAGAGAATCCGAGGTGGGGAATAATAGTCGTGTCCACGCAGGGAGTGGGAATTGTGAATGTTTATATGGAAAACTTTTTCAACCCTAAATTAACACTGTAAATAAATTAATTCAAAGTGTATCAATCACTAAACATAAAAACCAAAATTATGAAACTTCTAGAAGAAAACATAGGAAAACTTCACGATTTGGGGTTAGGAAAGCTTTTTTTTTTTTTACTTAGGTCACCAAAACACATCAGTCATAAAGGAATGATGATTTAAAAATATATAAATATATTAAGAGAATGAAAATAACGGAGACTGGTAGAGAGGAATAAACAGACAGACAATTGGACAAAGAAATCTTACCAAAGGAAGTATACATGTGGTAAATAAGAAAATTCAAGATGCTCAACATCATGAATCAATGGGGAAATGCAGTTTAAAATGTCTATTAAAATGTCTAAAATTCTCAAAGAATATATTAAAAGAACTTTCAAAACTCAATTATGACAGCCCAATAAAAATGGTCAAAATATTTTAATAAAGATACTTTTTAAAAAAGATTTTATTTACTTATTTGTAGGGAGAGGGGAAGGACGGGAGAGAGAAAGGGACAGTTACATCGATGTGCCAGAGAAACATCGTTTGGCTGCCTCTCACACGCCCCCAACCAACCAGGGACCTGGCTCACAACGCCGTCATGTGCCCTGGCTGGAATCCAGCCAGAGAACTTGGGGTTCGCAGTACCCCACCCATCCCACTGAGCCAAACCAGTCAAGGCAATGAAGATACTTCTTAAAGCATACGCATGACTAATAAACACATGAGAAATGCTGAATATCATACACCAGACTGGGAATTCATATTTAACACAGAATTAATATGGTGGGTGTGGCAAGTCCCATCCCACCCCCCAGTGTCACCACAAATAGATTGTCTTTCATTTTCAACCCCCATCAAATCTCCCAGATGGCAAAGGTCCAGCTATTCATGTTTGGAGAATCTTGGAGAAGGGAACACTGCACACTTTATTCTCTGGTTTTTTTCTTTGAAAATTTGGATATATGGGTAAGGATAAACTCTTTAATCCCTTCACAGTAGGGAGTTCCGAAACGGTGATTCTTTCCCACCCCCACCCCCACTGCCTGTACTAAATTTCTGGATCTTGGCTATGTCAGCAGGAATACGCCTTTTCATGAAATCAACATCACTAGATAACTCGTTCCACCTCCATATCTCCACAAAAATATAAGACCTTTAAAAACAGTTCTGGCTGAAGGGGCAGGGTGAATTTCTGAAGCCTCCCAAAATTTCATGAGATATTCAGACTCTGGATATCCATCAATGTCCTTATATTAATTACCTATTGCTACTGTAATGATTTATCACAAATGGAATGGCTTTGAAAAATACAAATTTATTTTCTTACTGTTCTGAAGGTTAGAAGTCCAACATGGATTTTATCAGGCTAAAATCAAGTTGTCGATGTGTTCTTTTCTGGAAGTTCTAGGGAAGAATCTGTTTCTTTGCCTTTTCTAGCTTCTCGCCTCTTTCTGCGTTCCTTGGGTCACAGTTCCTTGGGTCACAGTTCCTTGGGTCACAGTCTCCTTCCTCCAACTCCAAAGCTGGCCCTGTTGCATGTCTTGGGCCATTCTTTTGTAGTCTCATCCACTTTTCTGAGAACCAAGAAAGCTTCTCTACTTTTCAAGACTCACATGATGAAATTCGGCCCACCCAGATAATCCGGAATAATTTCCTCAATTCGGTGTCCTTAAATGTAATCACACTGGCAAAGTTCCTTTTTCTAGGTAAGGTAACATTCACAGGTTCTTGGGACTAGGACACGGGTATTTTGGGGGGTTGAAGAGGGCATTATTCTTCCTGGTATGGATTGAAATGTCTCCCGAAAATTCATATGTTGAAACCCCACCCCCCCATATGATAGTATTTCTTGATGGTGACGTTGGGAGGTAAATAGGTTTAGAGGCTCAAAAGAATGGGTGCAGGTGCACATGGTGGGTTATTGGCCTTATAAAAAGAGACCAGAGAGCTTGCTTTCTTTCTCTCTTCCATATGAGGAGACAGCAAGTAGGCAGTAGTGGTCAAACCAGGAAGTGGGTCCTCACCAGATAACAAATCTGCTGCCCCCTTGACTTCAGACGTCCTAGCTTGCAGAACTGTGAGATATAAATGCCCACTGTTTAAACTGACATTTTATGCTATTTTATGCTATTTTAGTATAGTAGCTATTTTATTATAGTAGCGTGAGCTGATGAAAACACCACCATACTCCTTAATCCCATGTCACATGCCTACCTTTTGTTACAGAGGATCAGAGCAACTGAAGGGCTGAGTTCATTTATACAACTCCTTTAAATTGTGTTCACATCTCAAAGTGGACATCTCAGAAGAAACTCCTCACCTAGGGTAAATTGATCACTCTCCAGAGTCCTACGATAACTCTTGGCATGTGTTTCTAAAAAGTGGACCCTATCCCTCTTTCCAGGACAAAAGGTCCCCCACTGTGCACATTATTCTTCATGAGTCACCCAGGACACTGCACTCTCACGATTGGCCAACCATGTGCAATTCTACACCTGCCTCAGGGTACCCTGGGTCTCTGCAATGGACTAGATGTAAACCACAACGTGTTCTTTTTTGCGGGTACCTGCACACACTGAAGTGACCCCCAGGCAATGACTTCTGCTCCCATGAAGCTTCCTGAATCATAAGAAATTAAAACTGAATATATGCAGCAGGAATTACTGAGGAGAAGATTTCTAGCTGGGAACAGCAACAAGGCAAAACTATGGGTCTACAAGACAGAATGCAATTATGCTATTTTATACTGTGTCTCAAACATTTAGGGTATTATATGACATGCTTCCTTTTTAAATCTTCCATTTTAGTTAGTGATCAACCTGTGTTGATTTGTACAGGAACATACACTCTGGCCTATTGGTGGGGCTGTAGCTTAGCTATGAACTTAGCTTTCAAAGCCTTTGCAGTGCAATTCTGGTCTCCCTCACTTGTGTGCTATCTACAGGTCAATTTTGAAACCTGTTCAGTATTCTATATTGCAGTTCACTTATCAAACCTTTTGCTTATGTTGGTTCTGGTCATTTTCATACAGGCAGGCACCTCTTAGAGGTTTTCCAGGACATTATATACAAATGTAGTGAATCCCTTTCTCTTGCTTCATGAGTTCCATTAAACTCCCCATATTCTCTAGTTAAAAGAAAGAGAAATGCCATCTTCTTATTGCAAGGAAGTAACAAGGACATAGGGATGGAATTCCGAGTTCTAGGCAACAAGATGACCGCAGTCGCACACGCTGAGGCAGAAACACACTCTACAGAATTAGTCCAGGTAAGTCACTAAACAAACAAACAAACAAACAGATATCTAGCCACAATAACCATCCACAAGGTGGGAACAGAATCCAAAGTTGGAATAATATATAACCTACAGTGCCACTTTTTCAATAATACATGCAAAGAAACAGGAAAA